TCTGCACGATCAACACCGGTCAGATCACCAGTGAGGAGCAAGAGGACCCAAAAGCCAGAGAAAACCTGAGTCCCTCCTCCAAGTCACACCCTTGACAATTCCTGGACATCCTCCAAGGGCCAGACACGACACACAGCATCGCTGAGGAGATAAAAACGTGCATGACTTGATTTCCCCAAAGAGCCCCCAGTCTTCAGGCTGGACTGGAGTAAGGAGATGAGCTTTGTGCAGGGAGCTGGGACAGAGAGCCTGGGAGAGGCCAGGAACACGCTCACTTCAGCCAGGTGGAAGGGATGCCTGGATTCTGGAAGGGTCAGAAGCCACTAAGGTATGAAATTTAATCCAGAAGGGACAAACAACCACCTGAGAATTAATTTTAAGGAGGAGACTGTGATACTCATATCAATAACTATAATCCCCACAGTTACAACTTTGATGAAGCCTGAAATATTATGAATACAGTCAATAGTGTCGAAGAAGAATTATGCTCATCTTATGGCAGGGAGAAGGTATTTGCTCCCTAATCCTGCAACAACCAGATTAAATAAATTTCCATAGGAAAACAGGCTCTTACAACAGTTTTGCCGAGGTAGGCAACTTCACAGAGAACATAAGACCTCCAGCTATTGGCAGCGTCTGCAAACCCGTCTTCTCTTGGATAAAGGGGGACACGGGCTTGGATGGTTTGTACATTCGACTTGTGGGAACTGTGAGTAATCAGGAGTTCCGTCGCTCACTCAGAAAGGGCTGGAGAGTCAGCACTGAGGTTGACCAGCCCTGCTCATTTCTTTCGAGCAAGTTTCCTACCCTTTCTGGCCCTCAAAGTGAAGAGCAGAAGTCGCTTAGTTGTGTCCAACTCTTTGAGACCCCAGGGACTATACAGTCTGTGGAATTCTCCAGACTATACAGTCTGTGGAATTCTCCAGGCCAGACTATACAGTCTGTGGAATTCTCCAGGCCAGGAATTCTCCACTGTAGTGGGTAGCCTTTCCCTTCTCCAGCAGACCATCCCAACCCAGGGATCGAACCCAGGTCTCCCACATTGCAGGTGGATTCTTTACCAGCTGAGCCACTAGGAAAGCCCAAGAATCCTGGAGTGGGTAGCCTATCCCTTCTCCAGCGGATCTTCCTGACCCAAGAATCGAACCAGGATCTCCTGCACTGCAGGCGGATTCTTTACCAACTGAGCTATGAGGGAAGCCCTCTGGGCTTCAAAGGTGGCATCGGCATTACGGGATCATCATAAGATGGGTGGAGACACGCAGGGCAAGCGCTTAGCTCTCTGCCGTACACGATGCTCAATGGAGCGGCTGCATCATGGAAGGAAGGGGGGCCCCTGCCCCATCTTCCCAGGTCCCCCACATCCCGAAGCTCAGCCCTTGAACACCCCCCGTGAGTGCCCTGACCCAGGATGCCAGGCAGAGTTCTCCTGTCGAACACTGGGGCTTCTCCAAACCCTCAGAGGAAGCCACACAAACCACCAATGGGGCCAGTAGGGCACTCGGTTCCCCTTGAGCTGCTGCCTGGTGGGTGTGGAGACGTAAGACCAGTTAGAGGCTCAGCCATGGCCCAGCTGAATAAGCTGGCTGGGTTGTCATCGCATCACTGTTCCACTGCTGGCAAGCTGAATTACAACATGCAATTGCTAATAGAGACTTTACCCGTGCAAGAAGAGCAAGCTTTTTTAGCTAACAAGAAAGGCAGCTGATGCGTTTACCTCAACCCCATCAACTCCAGATGTGCTTTTTAAAGAACTGGAGCGGGGACCCTAGGCAGGATGCTCACCCTGGAGACAGCTGGTCCCAGCTCACGTCCAGGTATTGAGAACACCTGGGGTGCCGGCCACACCTGGGGGACACCCCAGAAAACTGATGGGGTAAATCTGAGAATGGTGGGCAATGCCTCCTTAAGAATCCAGATACTGGAGGAAAAAAGTAAATCTCTCTCAAGCAAATATTTGAAAAAACACTTTCTTCTTTTTTGGCAAGGTGAACCGCAACCCACTCCAGTGTTCTTGCCCGGAGAATCCCAGGGACAGAGGAGCCTGGTGGGCTGCCACGTATGGGGTCGCACACAGTCGGACACGACTGAAGTGACTTAGCGGCAGCAATGTTTCAAAACAAGACTAAGAATTAAATCACATGTCCTGTGCCTTCAAACAGGGTCACAGACCTGCTCAGAATTGGGATTCTTGGTAAGCCCTTTCAACTAAAATCTATACAATTTGGTCCATCATTAAGAGATTTTCCAATCCAGACTCTCTGGGAATCACTTTGAAACAAGCACGAGCAGAAACTTCCTTCCCTTCAGTGAGCCCGTTCCTCTCTTCCACAGCAAAAATGCTTCAAGATGCCAGAAAACAGGAAAAGTTTCTGTAAATTATGGCACAGTCAAATGCTGGAATGTTATGCCAAGGTGAAAAATCATTATCCTGACAATTTTTCATAACATGGAAAAGCACTCACACTGTGCCAATCAAGTAGTTTTGTGAATCTGACTCCAATTATGTGCATCTACACACATAGACAGAAAATAAAGCCTGGCTGGACATCCTCTAAAACGCAGATGATCTTCTCTGTTCATTGCGACAAGCGATTCTTAAACGATTGACTATGACGCGCATATACTTCAAAATTCTAGGAGGTGTACATTTTGCCACAGTACCATCCTCCCCTGCCACGTTCACAGGCAGAGGCAGATGTGTGTGTTCCTCAGGGCTACTAGGATGCTCCAGAGCGCAAGCTCCTGGCACAGAGCTCTGACAAACGTGTCCACAGTTTGCATACCCCAGGGCCATGCTCCCCGACCCGGGGTGAGGGAAGAACCCATGACCCATGCCCTACACAACAGCAGGAAACTGCTTCTGTGTACTTCTCTCGTTACAGGAAAAATGTCGTCCTGCCACAATTGAGCAATCTTCTTGGCTTCCAAGATATCAATGGCACAGATATAAATCACAACTGCATCTTAAAACTGGCACATCAGTTCTCGGCCTTTTGGCTAAGATCAAGTGTAAAACTGGCACGGAGTAGGGGAACAGTTCATTGTAACAACGAGATTTCATTAGTAGGAGCGGCGGAAGGTGGCTGGGAAGGTGGGGGGGTTGCGGGTGCGGGGGAAGCCTGCAGACCTGGTTTCCAAGGATCCTTTGGTTCAGACTCACCTCTGACCTCAGTCAAATGTTCAGGAGGTCATTAACCTTCCCTGAAGCTCCATCCTCTATAAAACGAAGCTGGCCCACATTCTCCCACAGGGTCGGGACTGCCACACAATGAGCTTGTGAATATAAGAGCATCCTTGCTAAAGTTCTTCTGCACAAATGAAAGGTGCGATCATTGTTAGTAACGCAAAGAAGGGAGGCATATCTGAATGGTTCTTAAAGCCTCATTAAATAAACCACAGCCCTGACACAATACAGACATTCCTTTTTCTTTTAACAGAAAAAATAATAGCCTTGTCAAAGTCCCAAGCAGGATTCATCACTGATTCTGAGTCTCATCAACAAATGACAAGGCTTCCAGCCAAGAAGGAGCTTAAAATCTCAGAGAGTACAGGCAGACAGACATCAAGCTACCAGAAACCATCATCAAGGAACCACACGGATTTTTGGGTTTTTTTCCAAAACAGAAGAATGAAACCACATCCTCTTGCTAGAAAGTCAAACTGCTGCGTGGGGAGCGCCTGAGACCCCAGAGCTGGGCTTCAAGACGGGAAATGGACCCGAGGCAGCAGGAAAGATGCTCCGATGAGGTCTTTGCATGGAGACTAGACACTCTTGGCCAGGTGCATCCAACGCTCGGGATCAGCTTTCTGAGAGTTTCATCAGACTCCCGTGGATGCTGCCAAGAGAGAGCGAGCGGCAGGGGGCCTTTCACATGAATGGCCACCGCGCCAGAGCCCAGACCCTGAAGGGACGTTCCTGCCCGCTCGCCCAGCATCAGCAGCCCTGCGCTGGTCCCCCGGGCCTCCCACAAGTCCTGCCAGAGGCACACGGGAGCCTCTGCCTCTCGAGGAATCTGGAAGCATCTTAAATTGCCAGCGGGGCGGCAGGTGCTCTGACAGCCAGGCCCACAGAAGGCTGGAGCACTGTCCAGATCTTTCCCAGAATTAGCAAGCCCCCTATGGAGACAGGACGCCGATCGGGCAGCCGGGCTGGGACGCGGTTCAAGTCCATGGGGCCACCAGATGCCAAGGGCATCGACACCACCTTCTCCATCTAACGGGCCAGGCATCAAGCCCAGTCACTCTGGGGTGAGCTGTTCAGGCGGCACAGTGCCCTGGCAAGACTGCCCCCCAGCCAGGCCAATGCCCCCTGCTTACAGATGGACCGGAGCTAGGCGATGCCTACGCTGGGCTTTGGGCACACTCCTGGTCAGGCCTCAGAACATCCTCAGCGCTCCTCAACCGCAGCCAGAGGGGCTCTTGCTTGGGACAATTCTATGTTATGGACAACCCACCCTTCAGACCTTTTACCATCACTGGCCAACGGCAATGAGAGGGGGGAAGCAAGGGGATAAGCTGGAAGCCCAGTAGCAGAGAAATAAGAACCACAGGGATCCAGAGAAAACACAGGCCCCAGAAAGGCCGAAGTCCGCGGCACCTCTCCTGAGAACCTCTGCCTCACCTACTTGCAGGAAGCGTGGGTGACATCCCAGTGTCAGGCATGTGAAAGTGACCCCCCCCCCCCCCGGCCACCACCACCAGGGAGCGTTCTTCTGATCTGATCCAGGATGTCGGTAGAAAGCACTCTGTAGAGGAAACCAGCCTCTGTGCAGGGACAGGTGGGCTGGACCTGCGACGCTGCCAGCAGCCGGGGCTGGCTCTCCGCTGGGGCTAAGTTCCGTTGCCTCCACTGTGCCCCCGAAATGGGCAAACACACCAAAGGGGTTGGCCCTACCCTGCGGAGGAGACCCGCCAGCCAGAGCCTCGCCCCCAGCAGCAGCACTTCTCCAAAGACCTCTTCAACGTCCAGCAAGACGCTCGGCCGAGCGGGGGCTTACGGCTGGGCCGGGTCACTCGGTTGGCCCAGGACACGGCCGCACAGAGTCACTTTCTCAGCGGAGACTCCACAGCCCATTAGCACATTATCGCCAGCGACCCATCTCTGGCGGCGCGCTCGCCGGTCCTCTCGGCCTCCCACTCTGCTCTCGCCCGGTCTTGCGGGGTGAGAAGCACCGCAGTGCCCACTCGGCGGGGCAGCCGCGTGCCATGGCCCGGCGCGTGTGTACACACGCACGCACACACACGCTCGCGCGCGCGCACCCGCCCTCCAGAAGCCCCGCGGCGGCCCGGCCCTCACCTTCGATGGCGATGACGTGCTCCCGGATTTGGTTCTGCAGCACCGGCTCCTCCACGCGCTCCAGCAGCTCGTAGATGGAGTAGATGTTGGGGTGGACCGACTCGAAGCGCTGGATCTCGGCCCGGATGGCAGCCGAGTTGGCCAGCTGCTGCTGGTAGTTCATGGTGCAGGCGCCGCGCCTGGAGCCGCGCGCCCCCCGCCGCCGCCGCCGCCCCGCGTCCCGGGGCCCGCGGGCCGCCGAGCCCCGGGCGCCGCAGCCCCCGGGGAGCCGGGCCCGCCGGGCGGCGGGCGGAGGAGGCGCGAGAAGAAAGGAGCGGGCGGAGCAGGCGCGGGGCCGGCCCGCCGACTCAGTTCATGGCCGGGACGCGCGCCCGGCGGGCGGGCGGGCGGGCTAGCGAGCGGGCCCCGGCGCCCCGGGTCAGCGGGCCCCCATGGAGCGCGCCGAGGCAGGCGCGGCCGGCCCCCGGAGGACGCTCGATCGGGCGCCTTCCTGCGCCGCAGTCGCCTTCCACCCCTAGGCGCTGCCCTGCCGAGCAGCCATTAAAGCCCAGGCGGCCGCCGCTCTCCGAGCGCCGGGGCCGAGGGCCGGCCCGGGGGCAGTGGCCGCGCCGCTCGGGGCGCCCCGGCCGCGGCGTAAGTCCGCGCGCTGCGTCTTGCGCCGCCCGGCGCGCCGGGGCCCCCCGCGCCGAGCCTGCCGTGCGCCGCCCGCCGAGCCGGGACCGAGCCGCAGGCGCCGTGCAAGCTGCGGAGCCCGCTCCGAGCGCGGCCCGGCCAGCCCCCTCCCTGGCACGCAGGGCTCCGGCCCACGTCGGCCCCGCCCCCGCCCGCGCCCGCGCCCCGCCCGCTCGCGCGCCCGCCGCCCGCCGCCCGCCGCCGCTGCGTCCTCCGCGGCGCTTCCCAGCGCGCCGGATCCCGGGGAATTGCGCCAGGCCCCGCCCCGCGCCTGCCTCTGGGCTTCCTGGGACTTGTAGTCCGCGCCGCGTCGGGGCCCCGCCGGGACTGCGCGGAGGGGCGCGCATGACGCCCCCGGGCCGACCGGACCCTGGGGCGAGGGGCGGGGCTTTCCGACGCGCGGCCCCGACTCCCGCCCCCGGCCCCGGCGCTGGTCCCGGCGCCTCGGCCCCCGGGAAGGGGTGCGCGACCCCTCCCGCGATTTTGTTTGTTCCTAAGTGCCTGGTTGGAGGAGCCGCTGCCGCTCGCCTTGGCCCCAGACCGCGCTTTGTTACCTCGCCTGCCCCAACCTCATATTTAAACTTTCTGTCTCCTTTAGCGAAAGTGACACGAGTGCTTTCTCCTTAATAAACTTAAATTTCTTTCCGAAGGCGAAGAGTCTCCTTAGCCGTGACGGCGCGGGCACTCACACTCCACGAGTGTACTTTGGACCGGCACGCGGCGAGGTGCGGTGACACCATGGAGGCTCCCTAGGCGTCCTTTTCCCTTAAAATTAAAAAAAAAAAAAAAATGAGATGTAGGTCTGGGAAGCTGCAGCCCGCTCTGCGTGGGTCCCCAGGCTATGCACCCACCCCAATCCCCGCGTCAGTTCCGCCCGCGGGATCCCGGGGGCCGGACCGCAGGGCAGCAGGGGCCCCAGCGCGCAGTGGGGCTAATCCGAAAGGTTTGAGGCAAACCGGACTGTTGCAGAGGTGCTGCGCTCTGGGGCCAGGTTTGCGCGCACCTACAGGCCTGGGCCCTGCCCCCACCCGTCCAAGTGGCCTTTGGGAAAGAGGGCTCTGCCGCCTGTCGTCCCTGATGAAAGCCCACTGAACCTTCACCGTGTTCAGTTGCAGCCTGTGTGGTTTCCGGACGCTGGTACCCAGCATCCTTGAGTTACACTCTCTGGGCTCACAATTCCCCCAGGAGAATGTGCCGTCTGCCTTCAACACTCACAGACTTTGCTCACCCCCTCCTGCCTCACCCCAATCCCTCTGGTGTATCTGGCGCACTGAGGCACAGTTCATGGCTCCCTCTGTGATGCGCCTCTGGCTAATCGCATCCTCAGTAACTGTGGTAAGCGGACAGTGTGGCTTCCTCTTTCTTAACCTTTCAGCGGTCAGTGATCCCTCCCCTCCTTGAACCCTTCTTCTCCTGCCTGCTGGGACAACAGTTCCCAGACTTTCCTATTATCTTCCTGGCTTGTCAGCCCTCGTACCCTCTTAAATACAGAGAGCTACTGAGTCTCTGGGTCTCTTCTCTTTTCTGTATGTGGGGGTTTCTATCTTGGGCTTTGAATGTCCTATACAGGTTCAATTCAGTTCAGCCACTCAGTCGTGAACAACTCTTTGCCTCCCCATGGACTGCAGCACACCAGGCCTCCCTGTCCATTACCAGTTCCCGGAGTTGACTCAAACTCTTGTCCATTGAGTCAGTGATGCCATCCAACCGTCTCATCTTCTGTCATGCCCTTCTCCTCCCACCTTCAATCTTTCCCAGCATCAGGGTCTTATGCAGGTTAGTGAACCTCAAACTCATATCCAACTGTCTCTGCAACATCTGTTGGATGCCTGCTGGCAATGTCAGTCTGACTTGTCGCAAGCTGATCTCTTGCTGTGCTCTTCCCCTGCTCCTCCTGAAATTTCCTCCATCCTAGTTATGGATGGCTCAAGACAGTAAAGCCTCTGCCTGCAATGCTCAGGACCCAGGTTCCATCCCTGGGTGGGGAAGATCCCCTGGAGAAGGAAATGGCGACCCACTCCAGTGCTCTTGCCTGGAGAATTCCATGGACAGGGGAGCCTGTTAGGCTACAGCCAATGGGTCGCAAAGAGTCAGACACGACTGAGCGACTTCACTTTCACTTTTCAGGCCTCCTTTTGCTGGGGCTGACCACCTTGGTGCCATCCTTGGTGCCTCTCCCACGTTCCAAATAGTGTCAGCTCGACCTCTCCAAGACCTAGAATCTCCAGCTTCTCACCACCCCGCTGCCCCCACCCTGCTGAACCTGCGGTCTTCTTGCCTCTGTGTTGTTGCTAGGAAATGGATCTAGCAGTTTGTCTCCTTGCTTCTTACCTTGTACCTGATTGTTTATTCTCAAGAAGGCAGTCCTAGTGACCTTTATAAAACTCAAGTTAGGTCATGTTACGCCTCTGCTCAGATCCCTCCTGTAACTCCTGTCCCACTCAGAGTAAAATCCAGCTCCTTCCTCTGGTCTCCAAAGCCATAGACACACTTGTTGTTCAGTCACTAAGTCATGTCTGTCTCTTTGCAACCCCATGGACTGTATAACCTGCCAGGCCCCTCTGTCCACGGAATTTTCCAGGCAAGAATACTTGAGTGAGTTGCCACTTCCTACTCTAGGGAATCTTCCCAGTGCACGGATTGAACCTGAGTCTCCTTCATTGGCAGGTGCATTCTTTTACCACTGATGCCACGTGGAATGCCTCCTCTGATAACCTGTCTAAAATGGCATCCTTCTTCCCCAGCAATCCATGTCTTCCTTCCTTGCTGTGGCAGGAAAAATAATGGTCCCCAAAGAGGACCACATCCTAATCTCTGAAATGTGTAAATATGTTATCTTACATGGCTTTGCAGATGGGATGAAATTAATGATGTTGAGATGAGATTATTCTGCGTCCAGTATAATCACAAGGGACCTTATAAGTGGGGAGGCATCGGGGTGAGAGTCAGAGGAGGAGCTATGAAGACAGATGCATGTTTGGAGAGAGAGAGAGAGAGGTTGGAGGATGCTTCACTTCTGACCTTGAAGTTAGAAGGAAGGGGTCATGAGCCGTAACTCAGGTGGACTCTGGAAGTTGCAAAAGGCAAGAAAATGAATTCTCCTAATGGTTCCCCTGCTATTGTTCAGTCGGTAAAGAAACTGCCTGCAATGCAGGAGACCCAGGTTTGATTCCTAGGTCAGGAAGATCCCCTGGAGGAGGAAATGGCAACCTACTCCAGTATTCTTGCCTGGAGAATCCCATGGACAGAGGAGCCTGGCAGGCTACAGTCCATGGGATTGCAAGAGTTGGACACGACTTAGCGACTAAACCACCACCAACCTTCCAGAAGGAACCCAATCCTGTCAATTCATTTCTGACTTGTGACCTCCAGAACTATAAAATAGTAAATTTGTGTTGTTTACACCACTCATTTTGCGCTAATCTGTTACAGCAATGATAGGGAGTTAATACACTTGCTTCATTTTTTTCTTAACCCTTATCCCATCCTGATACAGTACATACTTTATTGACTTCTCTTGGGTGTATTCTGTGTTCCTCACGAGAACATAAACTCTATGAGGGCCAGGGTTCCTATCTGCTCTATTCCCTGTTCTATCTCCAGCACCTTTAAGTGTCTGACACATGGTAGGTGCAGAATCATTGCTTATCGGATTAATGGCTTCCCCCATCAAATTGTAATTTCCATAAACACCTGGACCATTTCCCTTCTGCATAGTCCTGGAATATTTCTGCATGAATATTCAACAAGTTAACCAATGAGCAACTACCTCTCCTACTGCAAGAGCTCACTTCTCATCATACTGGGCATGTAGTAGATGTTCAATAAATATTAGCTGAATTTAAATGAATGTTAGGGGACTTCCTCAGTGGTCCAACTCCACAATCCCAAGGCAGGGGGCCCGAGTTCCATCCCTGGCCAGGGAACTAGATCCCACATGCCATATGTAGTTGGGAGTTCATGTGCTGCAACTAAGATCCCACGTACCAAAACAAAAAAGATTTGCATGTGACAACGAAGGTCCCGCATGCCTGAACTAAGACCTGATGCAGCCAAATAAATAATTTCTAAAAAGATACCCTGAGAGATGCTAAATGATTCTTGTTGTTCTAAGCCACTAAATTTGGGAGTGACTTGCTCTACAGGAATAGACAATAATGGAAAGGAAATGTTGGAACCTGTGACAGTGTATGCAAATCATGATATATGTGAATATACATGACATTTTTGTTTCTTGGTTCATCTTTTGTTGAACAAATAAGAGGCCCCTTGAGAAAGACTCCGGCTCCTCCATCAGCTCTGCTTGTCATCCCAGGCTTATCTGTGCCCATGGCTCACCTTCTGAGACAGGTCATGGGTTTTCTGTTGCTGCCACCAACAACACAGATGTGTTATCCTCTCAGTGTGTAGGTTGGAAGTCTGACATGGGCCTCAACAGGCTAAAATCAAGGTATCAGAGGTCACATTCCTTTCCGTGGGATCTGTTTCTGTGCCTTTTCCAGCTTCTGGAGGATGCCTGCCCTCCCTGGCTCGTGGCCTGTTCCTCCATCAATTTCACAGTCAGCAAAGGTGAGTTGAATTGTTTTCACATCACATCGATCTGACCCCTTCCTTTGCCTCCTCCCACTTCCCAGGACCTTTATGACTATATTGATCCCATCTGATAATCCAGGCTCATTTGCCAATTTCCTGATCATATGATTGATAACCTTAGTTCCATCTGCAACCTTAATTCCCCTTTGCCATGTAGGGTAATATATCTATAGCTTCCAGGCATTGTGATATATTCTGTGTGTAACACATTAATAGACTCTACCACTGTCCAATATGTGTTTTCTGTTGACTATTTGGGGTTGTCGATATAATGGGAATTGCATTTGAATCTACCTATGTGTAACTAGCAGGGTTTTCAAAAGAAATATTGGGTTGCAAGAATCAGCCTTGGACCCACCCACACCCACACCCTTAGTGCCAAGTAGCATTTGAAACTCTTGAGATTTGTGTAACCTAAGTCCCCTACCACTAACAAGCTCAGAATTCCCCATAGGAACCCACGGCCCCGTTCCAAAGGGATGGAAAACAGAAACACAGAAGAACACAGCCTTGAAAGACTTCATTTCTTTTGCACCTATATTTTTAGGTTATTCACAAGGTTAAAAGAATATCTTTCTAATATGTAGAGTAAACAAGGTGAGCAGTAGTACCATTTATTCCAAGGTCATTTTAAAAAGATTTTCATGTTTATGGAATAGCTTAAACTTAATAATGTATGATATATAATTTTTATCAGGATTTTCAAAATCCCGCTGAAAATGCAAAAGGTTCCTGTATGAAACCCAAGTTTTTTGCCTCCAACTGTCACTCAATTGGGAGTGTGGTTCTTGAGGACTCTTGGGAAGCTTGGGGCCACAGAAAGTGGGACTGGGTAAAGTTCAGGGTGGATAGGAGTAAATCGAAGCTGAGCCTCTAGTGTTACACTTGCGGAAAGTGTCTTGGCTTCTGCCGTCACTGTCGCTCCTGACCTTTCTTGTCCTTGCTCTTGAGACCAGTTGCTCCTTTCCTCTCAGTCCCAGTTACCCTGAGTCACCAGGACGGAATTTGCCCCAAACCAAGAGAGCTTGTTGTTGTTCAGTCGCTAAGTTATGTCTGACTCTCTGACCCCATGGGCTTCAGGTTCCTCTGTCTTCCACCATCTCCTGGAGTTTGCTCAAATTCATATCCATTGACTTGCTGAAGTTATCTAACCATTTCAT